TATATATATATAATACATATATAAATATATATGCTAGTATTGTTGTTTGACGAATGTGCGCACACGTAGGTACACGAATGGTATATATATATAATACATATTTAAATATATATGCTAGTATTGTTGTTTGACGAATGTGCGCACACGTAGGTACACGAATGGCAAACACCATGCAAAACATTAATAGTTAAATAAATATTTCATACAAAACTATATTGGCTGTTGATAGAAACCGTCTGAAGTGATCTTGAGATTATCGAGTAGGATTGAAAGTTTCTCTGGAGATGCTCTTTCCAAAACCCAGTAGCCTCGGTGGTTTTGGGGCTGTGTAGAGCATTCACCGTGGTCGTACTTGCTTTTTGCTGAATAGATTCATTAGAAATTGAGGTGCACAATGTTGTCTGGTGAATTTTTTCATGTATACTGCATCTTAACCATTCTCCATTGTGCATACTAGGTGCGATTACCTAGACCCTGCTCTGGCATGGACTGGAGTAAAGGACTCCGGGCGCGGTGTGAGTCTATCCAAGTTCGGATTCGACCAATTGACTCAAATCAAGTCCTTCAATATGAAGATAAACTAAAACGTGCGGCATCGGCCATGGATGGGAAATGGTACTGTGCACTGAGCCTAGGTGAAGTTGATTGACTGAATGTTACCTACCTAATCACAACAAAACGAATGTCTCAGCACATTGAGCTTAGGGTTGTAATTGTTCGTATGTACGAGGGATACGTGCAGAACAGATTCTAGAGTATCTAGATCATGTGCACCTAATATTCGATAGAGTAGAGATTTCGGGGATGATGTTTTCGTACATTGCGTTCGTGGACTGCATAGTCTAATACTGAGTATAAGCTCGCTTGTATTTAAGGTTGCATGTACATTTTCGTGACGATAAGGTCACCTATACAATTCAAGCATCCCGTATTGTGTGCCAACACCCGTCTGGTTTAATACTACAAATCGATATAATTCCTCCACCAAGTATACGATAATAAAAATATGTCAACAGGCAATTATAAACAATCGAGTAGTTTCAAGAATATATCTAAAATATTCAATCGACTGCTTGCGGCGGCATGTATATTCGCTGATATGTCGGGTAACCCAGGAAAGGCATATAGGCGTAGAAATGGGCTGTTGTCGCGTATGTGTCTGTCAACTCATTCGTCTTCACTCAGTACTTCCCCATTTTCGCAGTCGTATTCACTCGTCATCGTTGGCATAATATTCATCCCATCCATCATAGGTATCCATGTATACCATATCTACTCCTTGCTCGTTCATTCGTTCTCGCAACTTCGAGTTACTCACACCATTAGTACCCTCGTATTGGAAAGGTTTGGACCCTGTCAGCAAGTTTGGACTTCCGTTGTAGTTGTCAATATCATAAGGATACCAATTGAACAAGGACTCTACGATATAGCCATCGAATCTGCCTATCAAACTCGATTCGTGAATGTAGTAGGACGGATTTTTCAGAGCCACCTCTAAACAATAGAATTTGCGTAATCGACTATACCGTGCATGTACGCAACATAAACGTGGATCAACTCTTTGATCTGTGTGATGTTCTGCGGCTTCGGAATCATTGTCAGTCACTGCGTCCGATGGTGAAGCATTATCCGTGCTGATCGCATCGAAACTTTGTATTTCGTCATAATGTCCTACGTAATAGGCAATATGTTTGGTAGAAGGTCATCTGGGTTGAACCAATGATCACCCCAGACACCTCCATATCCGTTCGCATCATCGTTTTCTTCCCAGATGTAATCGGATATCCTGGGGTCTGCCGGGCGGTCTTCCTGCACTGTACTTACAGATAGGGTACGCCATGGATTTGACGTTCGGATTTGAAAGTCCTGCGGTCACAACATCGCGCGCGTCATTCACCGATGATAATATTACTTTAGCACCAGAACAATTAGTTTCCTTAGCTGCACCAGTGTTAGACCTTGCACGATTGCACATCGACGGCGCACTAGTAGCAGCACCATTCTTAGATAGGGCGTTTGCATTAACGATAGAGGCAACCGCTAGCAGAAGGGAAGATTTTATTGACATCCTGTTCGCAATCTAGCTCGGACTCGAACTTACCTGTAAGTCAGATGCTTATGTGGCAATAATATACATGAATTGTCACTTAAATACCACTTTTTATATGTAAATTGCAAGTTACGACTGATCGATCAAAGACGAACCGGAGTGCGGGTATTTAACACAAGAGAGGTTGATGTATTGAATTTCTCACTTTCTTACCGCTATTCATGATTACCGCTGGCGATTGGCTATATATCTAGGTCCCTAATGAGGACCTTTATAAAATTCCTGGTCCCACAACAATTGTTTGCCCTTCATCGTGTCGCAGAGATGAAGTATGAACAGCTGAAGTGTCCTTGGCGGGCCTGAAGAGTATATTTTACGATTTTTATCCGAGCTGTGGCCTGTCAGTGCTGTACTGTTGAGTGTTGAGTTGACCTATGTTGTACATTGTACAATGTACAATGCTCTTGCGAAGGCTTCACTGAGTCTCTCTCACTAGAGTAGACACACTCTCTAACACGAGTAGAGAATAGAGGGAGAGTGAGAGAGTATTTCACACTACCTTCTGGAGTTTGTAGAGACCTGGTGTATTCGTTAAAATGTACCACCAATCCCAATGCTACAACTTCCTAAAATAAGAATCACACTACTCTCTGGAAAGTACAAAACTGATATGGTGACACAGGCAATAGCAGCAGCAGTAAATAAAGAGCTTTTTTGTGCTCTTTTGCATAGCCTTCTTGTTGTTCAAATTTCAGAAGGCTATGTATATTTACTGTGTCTTTTGCTTTGTAAATATTTTTTTATTCGTTTTGATAAAAAAAACAAAAATAAAAACACACAAACAAATATATTTTGTTTTGTAAAAAACAAAATGTATTTAGTTACATTTATTTTTTATATTAAAAAACAGAAAAAAAGAACATCCTGCGGTATTTTCACAATACTTATGTACTTTGTTTTTGTTTTTTTTTAAGTATAAATTAAACAAAAAGTGAGGTATGTATTGTATAAAATATATATGCTTTCACCGTTCAGACTTTTTGACTTCAGATCTGCTTGCAGTCGGGTTTGAAGTATTACCAAATATGGTACCAATTATCTCATATTAATTGGTTTAGTTGGGCATATGCTCCGGTGCCCAGGGAGAGTCCTATTTGCATTTTTGTTTTGGGCCAGCGTGGGGGGGGGTGCTGGGGCTGGGGCTGGTGGACCCGTAGTAGTGCTAGAGACTCTCTCTCTCTATTTAGAGAGTCTATCTATAACTGATATTTAAATGCTACTAGTAGTAGAGACTCAGTAGACTACATACCGGGATCTATTTTTTCTTTCGAATTGAAGAGGGTTTTGCCAACATAATCCCTTTGAATTTTAGATCCCTGTAAACAGAAATACGTCTTTGATACATTCTAATTTCGAGAATTTGAAACATGATTTCTATTTGTTGTTTTTAAATATTTACAGACCATGATTTGGCAGAATTTTGGCGATTTCAACTTTTAATTCTTTATTAGCACCGCCAACTTGCTCTTATTTATAGATGACAACATACTTTTTCTAAAAAAAACATTCCAGTAGCTAGTCACCTAAATGTCCCCGTATACCCGATCTATACTCCCCCTCTTTGTGGAGATGCATCAAAATTCAACTCTATTGCCTTTTTGAGTAGAGGTATCAAGTAAGTATATATTCATTCGTTTATGTCCTTCTTTATTCTATGATTAGATACAGATGCACTGACATCAAGGGCATTTGCTTCAACCGCGCGAACATCGAAGTGAAACGTCGCACTGCACAATATTCAACCGGATGTCTGCTGCAGAGAAACTGTGAAGACACACTGAAAATACCAATATTTACAC